TGTGTGTGTGGTGTGTGTGTGTGTGTGTGTGTGTGTGTGTGTGTGTGTGTGTGTGTGTGTGTGTGTGTGTGTGTGTGTGTGTGTGCGTGCGTGCGTGCGTGCGTGCGTGCGTGCGTGCGTGCGTGCGTGCGTGCGTGCGTGCGTGCGTGCGTGTGCGCGTGCACAAACTGTGTGATCAGAGCAAGAGGGAGTTGGTGGGTGGTGTGAATGGCACAACTACACTGCTCCAACTGTCAGTAGACACAGTCGATATGGTAGGAGACATGTTTTTTTTAGAGAGGCGGGGAGGCTATGGAGTGGGCCGCCTCACAATCTGATTCTTTGTTATCGTTTATTCATCACCTTGTCGAAAGAGCCTACGTCAAAGACCGGGCCTTGCATTTCCAAACAGAGTTGGAAGTATAGTCTGAGCTTTGAAAAGATGTGTCACTTTGTGCTTCCTTGCAGCAGCTCATTTCAAAGCACCTCAGAGCTGTTGTACTCTATTAGTTTCTCTGTCACATCCATTTGAATGGCATTTCTCCGCTGAATTATTCATTTGCGCTGGTTTCTTTAAGCTCTGTCTTGGCACTTGGAGAAGGAATTAAATTCTATTTTATTGAGCATATAAAGACTATGTCTGGGAGAGAAAAAAATAACTACAACAACAAGATGCCCTGTGGGGGACAAGAAGGCACATCGGCCCACTTTCTCCATTAATGTGTTAATGTACTCCCTCTCCCTGGGCTGCCTGACATCTGATTAGACACACATGCAGACAGACATACAGGACAGGAACACCAAGAGATACACATGTGGAAAGATGAAAAGACTCATACCTCTACGAACAAACAGACACACAAATATAATATATTCATGTTCATCGATAGGGACACAAACACATGCAGGCTGCAAATCTCATGCATAAATTCAGTCATATACCTACTAGTTTTCTGTGTGCGTACAATGCTTCAGGATGCATTGAACATACAATCAAAAGAACAAGCACCATACAATAGCTTCACTGAAACAAATATTGAAGCTCAGACTGACTGTGAGGATGTAAACTAGGGTGAGCAATATGTATCCAATAGTGACTCCAACATAAACTGCCTCGCCTGATAGCTATTTGACTATAATTAAATTACACCAGTCCCCAGGGAAGGAGAGGATTCTCTTGTCTGTGTTGCTGCGCAGTGGGAGTCGTTGACATGCAACAGAGGAAAGAACATATTGACATATTCTAAACACGTGCATTTTAATTGTTTGGGTAAAATGATCCAGTCATAAGCGATGGGAAGCAAATAACAAAACATCAAACACATACACACACACTCCCCCATACTGTGCATATACTCTTGAGTATTCCTCAGTCTTTCTCACACATGATCAAGGCAGTCTCCCAAAATGCACGGTCATCTGTCATGACTTTCCCTCACTGTCAGAGCCAATTGGATTCTATTGGATGTCAAAGACTGCAGGTTGATGAGGGCTGAGGAGGATGACGCTTCATCTGCCATAAAGACGACAACTTAAAACAATCAAGAAGCAAACCGCGAGTCCTCTCCACGTGCTGCCACTTCAAAGACTCTGTTTGTACTTTCTCGGCTTGACAGTCTGATTCACAGAGAGGACTTGGTAGGGTAGATATGTGAACATTTTGACTGAGGACCCCTTGTGTGGTTTTCAGAAAGCGTGGATTTAAATTATTCAAAAGGTAAAAAATGATGTGGCTTTTTAATGTCAGAGACAGATCCAGGCCGTGAGGCAAGAGAGGTAGAAGAACAGGCTAACATAAACAAATTAAAGAGAAGTCAAAGACCAATAAAGAACTGAACTCTGCAGAGACCAAGTAAACATTTTCCGCTTTGTGTTATTTTTCACGATGATTGTCCTATGAGTTCTGCTATCATATCGTCTTCATTAAAACAATGCATCTTCTCTTTGTATTGTGTTATATACAGAAGTAATGCAATCCCCATAGATAGTTGTACATAAAAGAAAGAACACATCAATTGGAAAAATAAACTTCAACAGAGATTTTGTTTACTAGTCCAGACAGTAAAAATGATGCTGGGATGAAACAAAACTGTTAAGATGTGAATTAGGAATGACTTTGCTCCATAGTATTGGAGCGCTGATCTTGAACAGAACTAGGCTATTGATAGAACAGGGCCTCATAGCACACACTAGTGGTTGTAATCCAATGTCGAAGGGGGCATTTGGATGCTATTCTCTCTGATAAACAGCTACTGTACAAGTTTGAAAATAAGCTCTTGACAAGCAATGTTTGGTACTTGATGTATATTCAGTCCCAAACTAGCAACAACGCTGCTAACGACAGACATTGTACGGTCGCATTCAAGATATCCAATATATTGTTGAGGACAATACCTCATGAAAACATTCATCTCAACATCTTATCTTCTTTTCTTCTATCTACCACCCATGCAAACGGACATGGTGACAAAAAGTCCTTTAAAGAACATGTACATTCTGTGAATGAAAGCTGCTGCAAGTGTAAATGCATGCTCTGTGAATACCAAGTGGTGGTAATGAAGTCATTTGTCTGAGAGTTGCCGGGTCTCCCACTATTCCATTCCCCGACATTCATTAGTCAGTCACTGCCTGAAAACGTCAACCTCCCTCTCCTCAACTCCTTCAGAATCTAATCGGCATGAAAGCACATTTTCCTGTGTTTAAGGAACGTAAGGCTACATGTGTGCTAGCTATATTTATCCATCCATCCCTGTGTCTTTCTAATAAGGACTGATGAAGCGTAATGGAAAATCAAGTGTAAAGGAAATTAATTGTATCTAATCTGTTACTGTGCGTGCTGTTTCAATAAGGCTGTTAATCTCTCTGCTGTAGTCTACTACACTGAAGCAGAGATGTCTGCAGAGTTGAATTTGAACCCTTTTTCTATTGTAAATGCATTGAGAGATGGCCTCACCAAAAACATTTATTCAGAGCTTAAAGACATGGACAGACTGAGGCCCAATAGCAAACCTTCTCCTTTCACTGTTTTGTTGGAGTGTCCTTGGGGTGAAGATGTGTTTTTGTGTGTAAACCAATGACAAATTGCTTTCTTCTTAGCAGATGTGACCCCCAAACCACCCAAAACATTCCTGACCAGTGTGACACTTACCGTTGACGGTGAGAGAAACCTCCTTCTCCCCAGCGCCTACTCGTGGGACCACGGCACGGCACACATATTTCCCAGCATCTTCCTGTTTCACAGCCTTGAGTGTCAGGATGTTCTCGTTACTTAGTACCTGCCACACAGAGGTCAAGGGTCACTGAATTAGCAGCGAGAGGTCACCTTCACATTTGAGGCAGCACAAAGCAGCCCGTGCTCCTCTTAACGACTTAAAGGCCACCCCTCTTCTATTATTAAAATCCAATTTGGGACCAGGCTCATATGAGAGATGGGCGGTTTTGGTCTCCATCTCCAGGCTCTGATGGTTGATGTATACGGAGTTGAGGAATGAGCCTGGCAGATCAATTGCATGCCCCTCTGCTCACCTCAACACATCTCCAGCCAGGAGTCAGGGAGCAGGGGCACTAACGAGCCCAAACCGCTAGCTGCCTCAGGATGTTTGGATTAATGAGACTTTGAAAACAACTGATTTGAGCTCAAAGGGCACTGCTTGGTCACATGAATCCTGAATGACCTCTACAGTTAGATTTTTTTGGTTTTCAAATAGAATAATTAATGAAGTTACTGCTGTGGCCAGCATGATATGGGGGTGGTTGTGGAAAATATATCACTATAAAGTACATGAAATTGAAAGTATCGGCTAAACTGATTGGAACAATCTACAGTGTATTGCACCTACTCAAAACAAATACCAGAAATGATGAAAGACATTGAATATGGGAATACATACCACTCCAGAGCCCCTCTTCATCCAGACGATGGTGAGGGAGGGGTTTCCCGTCCAGGCACAGTTGAACACAGCATCAGACCCCAGATCCACCTGTAAGGACTGGGGCTCTGCAGCCATGCGTGGACCAACTGCAGGAACACAGAGAGACACCCAGTCAGCATCTAATCAATACAACACCACCAGCACCTCAGAAGACTCTATAAATGGTCAGATACAGAATGTCTATAATCTAAATAGGATGCATAACGTTGGCTGGATATCACCACAGAAAGAGCAACACATTAGTAGCACTCACAGTAGACGTCGACATTGCGGCTGATGTTGGTGCTGCCCAGAGGGTTGGTGACCTCACAGGAGACAGGTTCAGTGTAGAAGGAGTGGTCCACAATGACCTCATAAGTGTCCCCAGAGACCTCCTTGATCACGTTGCCTCCTTTGGCCCACCTGTAGTGAAGGGCAATACACAGAGAGAGAGAGAGAGAGAGAGAGAGAGAGAGAGAGAGAGAGAGAGAGAGAGAGAGAGAGAGAGAGAGAGAGAGAGAGAGAGAGAGAGAGAGAGAGAGAGAGGAGACCTTGCATGAGAGGGGTGATCTGATAAGAAGCTGTTATTCGCAACTTGCTTTGACCTTAACATTGACCTATGGTCACCTGGCCTATGGTGGTAAGGAAATACTCTGCTGATGGCCCGGAATACCTGCAGTAGAAATACATTTTGAACACAAGTTAGCACCAGACCAATATGAAGAATGGGTTGCTTTTGATTTATAACGTTTCAGTCCTGGTCATCAGTGAGGGATGATGGCACCTGTCTGAAGGATGGTAGGATGTGAGGATGAGGGGAGAGGAAGGTGGGATGAAACATTAAGACCGTTTCTCTCCTTCCCTGTCCATGTCACATTGTTCTCAGAATAAATCATTCCTGTGCAGGTTCTCTGCTGGCTTCAGCATGTTTTTGTGGCAGCCATTCATGCTGTGACATCACAAGCGTCTCAGTGACTGGGGGAGCAGACAGCACGTTCCTCATTACGACAAGCGGAGCGGCGCAGAGCGCAGAGTGGCTAAGAAAAATGTATCACTAAATGACAAACAGGTAGAGTCCCCCCCTGATGATGCCGGATGAAACGTACTGTATGCACATAAAGGCACCTGACGTTAATCAATTTACACAGGTTTGCATGAAGAACATCCGTTTGTGTTGGAGCCATGCCTTCTGTCAGAGGGATGCTTTCTCCCAACTGCTGGGTTAATACTTTTCTGATGTCACCGCTTCTGTCTTGCTCGGCACGCCATACTGGATGGTTCCCTGTTGCTGTGGGAGACAGGGACCATTTATTAAAGCGAGCCAGGGCATGAGTGGATATATTGGGCTTTTTCTCTGGAACATTTACAAGGTATTTTGGGACATTCAACTCTATATACTCCTAAACCTCTCCACTTGCTCAGAAAGAGATGTGTTTGCATGCTGATATGGGCGAAGATAACCTTTCAACTTCTAGCTGTCACAAAACATGGATCTATTTTCTCACCCAAGAGCACAGGGAGCACTGTGCAGTATTCCAGGAATAGGGGACTCGCAGTATTCCAGGGATAGGGGACTCATTTGCTATCCATGAGTGAAGCCTTGGTCTATGCTTGACTCAAATAGTATAATTTAAATGAGAATAGACCTCAATCATTCAGAAAGTGAAGTGAAGCACCTTTCTAATTGGCTCCAGTAGATTATTCTCTGCTGCACATTGTGCTGCTGAGGAGACTATGTTTCCACACTATAAGAGCTAGTTCACTGTGTGCAAAATGAAGTCGCTGAGAGCACTGTCAGCTTAATATGCACAGGGACACTTGGGTTTCCAAAAATATTATAATTAGGACAGATGGGTGTGTTTGGCTCATCTGTCCCTTCCTTACATATTTGGTCCAGGAGGAGAATGTGCTGGATTTGGGAAAACATATTATTACCATTGCAGTAAGCTACACACAGCTACACACACACTGTCTGTATTGTCCCTCAAGAAAACAATTCTGTACACAAACTGTTCAATAAAAGATTACGATAATGACTACGATAATGATGATGATGATGATGGTTTCTAAATCTCACAACACACTGTCTATGAATATTAGATAAGAATTCCCTAGACAATGTCAATAAATCCGCTGATGATGACAGCAATCATCAATGCCCTCTGAATCTCAGTGTCGGATGATGAATGACTCCACAGGCTGTGACTGAGAGTGTATGGTTGATAGAGTACTGGAGGAGTTACAGTGAGTTAAGCACAGAAGTTTGGCCAGCAGGTCTCTCCCAATTGGAGTGTGAGGCTGCCAGGGCTGGGAGGTCCACAGTGTAGCGAGAGCAGAGACAGAATGCTAGTGCCTGCAGGGAGTGTGAGAGCTCGGCTGATGTGCTGGTCCCCATCCAAGAGAGTCTAAACATAGCCAGCTCTGCATCCATCAGACACCTGCATCTCCTCTGGGAGGGCAGAGGGGCCAGCGAAAACTTACTCAACAGCTCACTTACCACCCGGACCTATTCAGGGTTTAGGTCACACAATGAGGTGCAAGTCAGGTGTATGCCTCAGGGTGTTTGTGTACGTGTGTGTGTGTGTGTGTGCGCGCGTGGCAATATCAGTGAAATCAGTGTGTAGCAGGGAAAGAACAACCTTGTTCTCTCCCACTGATATGATTAAGGGGATAGCAATGGTAAACTGAATTATATTAAATTCAACAGCTATCTATGTCATTAGCATATAAAATAAATTGTTATTATTATTATTATTATCAGCATGGTTAAGTACACCACAGCACAGATTATGTTGCTCATTTGCATTTTCTTAATGTTGAATATATCAAAAAACTTATTTCAATGGAAAGTAGAGACTTTGAATGAAATGTTTATATGAAATAAGACAGAAATGTCTCTTGGTTTGACATAATATGACAAAAGGCCCAATATTAGAAGGGAGAACAAAAACATTGTCTATAGTTCCAACACAGTGTGAATGACATTCCAATATTCTGTCTGCCATGAGGTAGGGGACATGAGCAAAGATGATGAGACTGTCAGTTTGGTGCCTCACAATTCATATAAAACCAGGAAGTCTGTTTGTCTGGCAATGAAATCACAACATGGTAGAACATCGCTGTTGTACCTTCCTTTAAAACATTACTGGCATTAGCGGCATGGTACCAGTCAAGATAGTGTGCACAGCCAAAGTGTTTATGCCAGTAGAGCAGACAAGATGGATTTAATTTGCTGTGCCTGCTGCTGTTTTTCTTTTCTCTCTCGCTATCCTCCTCGTCGGCTGGATGCACTGGGTGGCACAAAGCGAGTCGCAGGGGAAGCACGGTCATGGAAAAACAAACAGTGGCGGTGCCCACAGACAACCTGATGGAAAGCGCCATGATGTAAAACCTCTTCATTAGCCACCTCAGAGACACAGACGAGGAGAAGGTAGATGATAGAACTGACAAAGAAAATCAACAAACTAGCAACATCATCATCATTGTTAAACTGGGGAAAGAATTGGGGATGGTGTTTGCTGGGCGAAGGAGAGGGATGTCTTTGTTGTCGCGTGGTAGAATGCTCTGACAAGGGACCTGAAACTCCTCTTCTGTCGTGTCCCTCTCTGGAGCGCCTCTTCTTTGAGTAGTGAAAAAAAACCTTTGTGTATTTATGACCAGGGTGTTGAATATGATGTTGATGTATTGTGGTTGCCCCTCATGCTTCCATTAGGCAATGAAGATTCCATAACAGCTCTATTGTTTTACAATTCCTCAATTTACACCAACACACTCAGACAAAAACACAAACTTACTTCCAACAGTACTTCCCTCCCTATCTAGCCTATGCGGAGTCGCAAAAATCAGGTTTTTCAACCTAACTTCCGTTTCCCCTTAGAAATATAAGTGGGAACTCCGCTCAGGCGTCTTTCTACGCCTGCTAAATTAGGTCACTCCCTCTACTCAGTACTATCCCTGAGACACATGCTCTCTCCACCCAGGAGTTAGAGTGCTGGCTCTGCCTGAGAGATATCTGTAGACTAGAGACTTATTTCCATTAGCGTCATAGATCGGCCAATCACAGCAAATAGAAATCACCATGTCATTGTCTCCTCCTCTGCTACCTTGGCTCTGTCTGTGTGCTTATTGAAATGGAGGATGGGATGGCAGTGTGGGCGTGCTGGGGAGGTTGGCAGAGGGGCCATCACTCTAAGGCCTGCCCTGTCCTTGTTCCGTATCTGATCTCCAGAGACAGGGTGTATTAGAGCTGACTAACGGCCACACCACACCGCTAGCTCCCTTCTCTGCACTGCTGTAACTCTCTCTGGGGGACAAGGGGGGTTCTCCTCAGTCAACTCCCCAGTGGAGAGCTCTCCCTGGGAGACATTTACATTTTAGTCATTTAGCAGACACTCTTATCCAGAGCGACTTACAGTTAGTGAGTGCATACATTATTTTTTTCATACTGGCCCCCTGTGGGAATCAAACCCACAACCCTGCAAATGCCATGCTCTACCAACTGAGCTACATTCCTGCTGGCCATTGCCTCCCCTACCCTGGACGAATTGTGCGCCGCCCCATGGGTCTCCCGGTCGCGGCCGGCTACGACAGAGCCTGGATACGAACCAGGATCTCTAGTGGCACAGCTAGCACTGCGATGCAGTGCCTTAGACCACTGCGCCACTCGGGAGACAGGAGTGTCCAACACTCCCCCATGTGGACTGAGGCAGGGTAGAGATAAAATAACGTATGGTTCTTTATGAGAACGTGTGCTAAAAGTATCGTAAACTAATCTGCACTGATGCATATTAGAAAAAGGTTACATATTATCACAGTCCAGTGAACAGAAGTGAAGTGTGGGTTCAGATGTGCAAAGGACTCAACTGAAAGTGGTATTGGATCCTAACACTAGTGAAACCCTTCTAGAAAGTGCCTATTTCAGCCTGAAGTTCAACACCCCTCCTTCTTTCATTACTTTTTCCCATGGTTTCCCAGGCCAAAGGAAAATACATCTCAACCACCAAGGCTCCTTAGGACCCAGGCCCTGTAGACATGTCAGCGGAACATTGATCCCCACTACAAAGGAGACTGATTTCCACAGCGATTGTAGCAGAAGACCTGCCTTTGGTGTATACCTGCACAATCAAACACAAGTCTTGTTTGCCTTGATATCTGTTTTTTAAAAGGGCAGAATCCATCAAAGGACCGTCTCTGTTTTGCCACCTGTGAGTGTGTTGTAGATCCATTTAATTTCCCAATACTGCTTCAGACTCAGTGTCGGCCGGGCAATTCCCTTTGCTATTGATTTTGTTCCACTTACTCTTCCCTTGGTTTTAAAACCCACACAGAAAAGCATGTCTTGACAAATCACCTTGGCATTACACCTCTTCAAGGACCAAGTAAGATTTCATGAGAAGAAATAACTTATATTTCTTCTTTATCCCCAATACTCTCTGAGAAGAAAGGAAATGTTTCTTGTGAGAATTGAAAAACTCAGTGCTCCAAATCAAGTCTCTCAGTGTGTGCTTGCAGTTGTCAGGCAAAATCCAAAAAGGATTGCGAAAAATAATAAGACATGGGTTCTGCGTAGGTTCAGAAGATCAACCCACTCCTTCCACTCAAATATCCATTGGCCCTGCTTCAGTACTCTGAGTCCAATGTCGCCCTTTTAACATGAGACCTTGTAACCTTGACAACCTCATCAGATACAACACAATGCCAGCTGTTCTCCCACTCATGGTAGTGTATCTATGTTCAGGGGATATTGACAACATTATCTCAAAACAAAAGCCATGCAAGTCAATCCATTAATTAGTCTCTAAGTACATGACTGGGAATGAATTTCAACAGACATTTGTCATTCGATTTTCCTCTGTATGGCTCTCTGTGAATATTTTCCAAATTGACAAGAGATTTAATAGTGTCACGGCATCATAAGAATTCTCTGACAGTGATTAATACCATCAATAATGAAGTGCCACATTTCACTTAATGTGAGAAGTTATTAGTTACAAGCAACATAAATCAGAGAGGACCTTTGTATATCATTTGAAATTTGTTTCAGCCTTTTTCTTTCTCATTACGGGGCATTGCATAATACAGTATGTCTGGCCCACATATATTTTTCTATGATACATTTCTCCTTTAGGGACTACTAATGGAGTTTAAACTAAAGTTCCCAGACAGCATGTTCAAAGTCTTGCCAAGGAATCAAGTTCAGAGTGAAAATAATCTAATATAGACTTTCATGAGAGAGGGGTGGAGAGAGAGAGAGAGAGAGAGAGAGAGAG